TTACAGCGTCTGAACCTCAAAACAGCAAGTAAAATCCTTAAACAGCAGTTCAGCAAATTATGTAATGGCAACAGCCAGTAACATGATGGAACTTCCTTTCAGCATGTCCCTGCTCGTAACAGCTTTCAACGCCTGTTAGCAACTACAGCCCTTGGCACCGCTTAACAACTTAAGTGAATTGAACAATTGCTAACAATTACCTTCCCTAAACCCTAACAGCCGTCAAAAATTCTTTCTCAGCATCTGGGTGACCCAACCAGAATGAAACATCCTGTCAACAATATCCTGTTGTGGCAGAAAGCGCTCTGTTACAGGTCCTTACAGCTGCTAACAGTCCCTAGAATCAGACAACTGTTAACAGTGTGGGCTCCAGGTACATGTCAGTCACAGGGCCTAACAGGACCAAACAGCCTCTAACCCAGTGTCTAACTGGCTGTTATGCCACGTTGACAACTATCGTCAGCAGCTGATAATGAGCCCGGCTGACAGCCCCGCCTAAGAAGTTAGCCGCTGTTAGACCCCCTATGAGTTGGTAGGGAAGCCTACCGGGTGGGCAGCATCAGAGAGACCGGGAGCTTGAGACAAGTCCAGAGTGGGGATCAGGCCCACGGAGGGGGCGAGGGGGTGGGGCCAAGGAAGTAAGGAAGATGACGAGCCAAGGCGGAGCACCACAGGTAGGGCCGGGGGTACCCTGCCCCAGATCCTGGCCGCGCACATCAGCCCCACTTCCGTACCCTCCACCGTACTGGATCCGCCTTCCAGCCGCCAGATCTATACCGTCGCCCTCACGAAGGCCGCCACCGTCTGCAACAACCCGTTGGCTCGTGAAACCATTGCCCGCCAGGAGGCTGCTGGCTGTGACCTCTCTGCCTGGCTGGCCACCCTGCCCCATGGCTGTAACCTGCTGTCCTGCACTGATGACGACCTGCTCGTCTACTTGGAGGCCCGCTGGCTCCCCAACCGTCGGGTGAACAATCCGAGTCCCAACACCATCAACAATCATCTGGGTCTGCTCTCCGGACTGTTTAACCGCTTGGGCCACGGCAGCACTTACGACTGTGGAACCGGCATCGGCAACCCCTGCTGCTCCAGCGCCTTGTCCTCCTACAAGACTGGCTATAGTCGCCTCGCCGCCGACTGTGGCTACGAGGAGCAAGCCGCCGTGCCCCTTACCCCTCGTGATTTTACCACCCTCATGGATCACCTCTGGTCCGGATTCCAGGCTTCCACCACCTCCCTAGCCCGCCTGCTGTTGCTACACGATATGTTGTGCTGCCAATTTATGCGGCACACCAGCTACCGCGGCCATGACACAGGCAAACTGTGGCTACATGATTTCTGTGACCCGCAGGGTGGTGGTCCCTTCCGTGAAATACCGGACCCGTTCGGTGCCTACCCCTCCCTCTCCTTACGGATTGAGCAACTTGGGACCAAAACATCCAAAGGGCGCCGAGCTCCCCCTTTGGAACTGCGCCCCAGCCCTTCTCCACGACATTGCTTCATCCGCACCCTCGCCCTCTATTGGCAGCTGTGCCATGCCCCCGATGCCCCCCCAGGGTCCGCCATCTCCGACTACCTCTTCCATCCCACTGACCGGGGTCACCAACACTTCGTGGAGCGCCCGTTTTCCAGCAGCACTTTGGCCATGCGAGTGGGCAAACACCTGGAGGAGGCTGGTGTTTACGTCAGGCAAACCCCTCATGGGTTTCGTCGTGGTATTATCCAGGCCACGCCGGCCGCTGGCGCCTCCCACGAGGAGCTCCACACCTTCTCCCAGATCCGCAGCCCTCAAGTCCTGGAGCGCTACACCGACGCCTCTCGGCCCACTCGTGTCCCTCGCGGCTCCGGTCCCCAATCCTAGCCTCCGCCTCCTGCTGGTGCTGCCCCTCTTAGCCCTGGTGCTCACTTCGTGGCTCGTCCTCCACCCTTTCCCCACCACATCGACGGGCGGGTGGGCGGGGTTCTGACTTGTGCTTGCTTGCACAGTTATCGGGCGATCTTGTGTTGTCTGAAGTTAGCGCCTTGTTCCCAGCTAATCTTTGTAACGAACTAGGGTATCCATCCCTGTCCTCTGCCCAGCTCTGGGCTGCGAATTCCTGCACCACACTTGCCGTACCGCACTACAGGACGAGCACTTAATCAACATGCATTGCTTAAATGTCAGCGTGTGATCCGTACTCCCTACTAACTTTCTGTGGGGAAGGCCATTGCGTCTGCGACCACACTCCCGCGGTACCCAAACCCTTCAAAGATAACTCCGACCAGCCCCAAAACACACAGCGGAGCGGTCTCCCCTTCCCCACTCACTTCCCAGGTGGTACCCTGGGTCCTCTCGCTCACCAGCCCCTCCTCCCCTTGGCCCTTGTGACATCTGCCAGGTGTTCTTGCTGCACAGGCCGGTATTTCAGGAAACAATTAAAGTACCTCGGATGGATGTAGAGGCGCAGCTTGCCCTCCTTTCCCACCACTCGCAGGCCGTTGATAAGCGTGGGTGTAGTGCATTAGCTGGGCATTCCAGTCTCCCACCGCAGAGAGCCGTGCTTAACTCGGCTGTAACGACGCAGCTGTAGGAACTGCACTGCATGCGGCCGGTGACCTGCCATTATTATTTCCGGGTTGCAGTCCAGCATCGCGACCTGCAGCAACTCCTGCACAATAGCTAGCTTGCAGTCCCGCTCAGGCACTATTTGTGTCCTGGGTGTTCGCATGACACCCACTCCAGCTGGGGCCCTCCCTCCAGGTGGCCTAGCCAACGTCTCTGTCTGTGAGGGGGCAGCCTTCTTTAGCTGCCTGGAAGAACTCTCACCACACTGCTACATGTGTAAGTAGCTTTCCTGGCTGGTAGTCCTCGGGTCCGGAAGCAAAAGACGATCTCTTCTACAACTCTTGCTCATTCTGCTGATCTACTGCGTCATGTCACCCTAGAGGCTGTAGCCTCTGTCCGGCCTCCTGTAGCAGCTGTATGCCTCGCTGCATGCTTCCTTGGGTGTCCCCGCTCCCCTTGCTGGTGCTCGTCCTGCGACGCCGGGTTCTCCCCTTTCTGCTCCTCACTCACCCACTTGCTGCCTTCACAAGGGTCATCGTTTCACGACAGCAGTTTGTCCAGATCAGCTCCCTCCTCCTCCCGGGTGTCCGTGTGGTAGCCAGTGCTAGATCCTCCGGCTCCTTCCCCTTCTATCCCTTGCTTGATCACAGTCAACACAGTAAGCCTGGGCCTCTGGGCTTGGGTCTCCTTGTGTGGCGCCTCGTTGCAGCTAACCAGGGCGTCCGCCCATTGGGCCACCCGTTCTGCCTCTGTTGCTGGGTGTTTATACCAGCAGCACTGCCCAACCTGCACCTTAACACAGGGCCCCTTCCCTGCATAACTAGTACAAGTCAGTGCCATTCACATGGCCCCTGTACACACTCTCCGTAATCTGCTCTTCACCCACTTCCTGGTATCCCCGCCGACCCAGCTCCTGGTTTACAGCCACCACTACACTGGCAGGCGGGCTCAGCCGCGGTCCATCGCGGGCCCCTCACCGTGAGGCGTTCCCAGTCCCGGGTTTACT